TACAGTAATACATAAAATATAAATTAGAATATAGTTGAATAGTACCCATACATCTCGCGTTCACACAAAGGAAATAAACCATCAACCGTTTTACTTAAGTAAGATTACATAATATCCTAATAACTTTTATAGGCTATTATATGTATATGGTTAATGTAAACCTACATAAATTAAATGTTCTTTGACTTTTCTGTTGGATGAAATCACAATTGACGTACGAGTATCTTTATTTGGATAGTAAAATTAATAGCTACCTACTATAATAATTTTCCTATTCAAAACTATTAAGCTATTTTGTCTCTTATTTAAGATCTATTGGTCTCGTCACATCAATCACAATAATTGAATTGCGTTTGGATACTTTTGTGCATTAATCACTCTTAAGCAATAAGAATCAAGACTAAAGTTTAGCTAATCTTAATTAAAATAGTTTTAATGATATTTATTATGAGAAGTATATCCATTGATTTTTATAAAATAGGTATTTATGTTTTTACTGACATCAATTTCAAAGAGTAAAGCTAAAAAATAATATTAATTCATTTTAAGCAACATATTTTTTAGAATACGCGCTTATAAAAAAAAACATTATTTATCCATTATATATTATGTATTATTCCTGTATCTAAAGAGGATATAAATAACTTTGATCATTGGTGTGTCAATATTAAATAATATACCATACACATTTGCGTTTTCTTTCATTTTAAATACTGAAAATAACTAAGTTAGGTAAATATTAATATAATATTATGTACACTTATTTATCTATAGTAATGACTTATGATGTTATATAATACTATCATAGATGATATAAGAAAGGATAGGCCATTCCTATATTGACAAAGTAAAAGATAAAATGTTGGTTACTTTATATAATACGATATTCTGGTGGCCCATCCATTTTTACATTATTATCTATGATTACTATAATATACTTATAAGTTATACCTGTGTTTATCATTTAATTTTGAAATTAATTTTTATACGGTAAACGGCTTTACAGTAAATAGTATATTATGTACATCCACCTAATTAAAAATATATGCAACGTAAAATATTAAGTACATAGAGTATACCTTAGGTATATCATTTATAATATTTGTTGGGACTTTAAGGTTATAACCCTTCTTAATGATATGCAACAATCAAGTAGGTAACTAATTAAACAGCGAAATAATAATGACATTAATAGTATGGGAATATGTATTAATAAGTATTAAATATTATGTATTACATTATTCAACATTTTAATTTTTAATGTATGAAAAACTTCACTTAAAAGTGTCATCACAGTTTGGCTACTTTTATCAAGTCTGTTCATTAGTTTTTGTATTTTAGCTAATACTCTTATTGTACCTTTGAGGTACAGATTGTGTATATATAACAATAAAGAAAAAAAAATGTATGGATAACATTTTAAAAATGGATTAAAATACCTATATAATGATGTTACAGATAAATCATATTATTTTTGAGATTCAAAATGACAAAATATTTAACAGTTGTGATAAAAAAATAAATACAGTTATAGCTTCATTGAACTCAAATGACGCGTATGTACAATGTGGGCATCTATTGATACTTTTTATAATAATTTATTACACGAACTAAATTACAAGACCACTATATATTATTATAGTGGAGAAAAAGAACTGTTAAACATCCTATTATGTTGACGGATTCTTAACGAAGGTCTGAATACGACCGCAATATTGTTGCCACCTTGCCTGCTATGTGTACGTCCATCACTGACATGTAGACTTTAAGCTAGGTCCAAGACTGGATGTCTACTAAACGAACCCATGTTATACCGTCGGATTGAATAGAAAAGAACTACCCATATTGAAAAAAAATGTTAAGCCATTACCAGTCTTATTCGTTCTCGGTAAATTACATTAAAACTTCAAACGCTTAATTTAAAAAGATAATAATACACCGATGGAGGTAATATATTTTTATAATGTTTGAGTTATTAATACTTTATCTATGGTGTGCAGTTAGTAAATTCCTAACAAAGCTAGATTAAGCCGGATAATATAAAAATAGCCTATAGAAATTGTCAGTACCGGATCTACAAATTATACAACCCGGGGCACAACATAATATTAGCGCCCCTAAAAGTCACCAATAAAAAAATGCATGAGTCCTAAAGTGTGTCAAAATACGGATTATTATTATAGGCGATTTATATTTTAAATATTCATACAATTAATCAAGATATTTTACATTTATTTAATATTTATACATTATGGAAATGTTTATTTTCAATAAAAAAACAAATATTTTAGAATTTAAACCTATATTTAATAAATACCTATTTAATAATTATTTTTCTTGATTTTTTTGACGCGAATTCTTTAATGATATCTTTATAATCTATGGATTTAGCAACTTGGTGCTCAATGGATATAATTGACAGGTCATTTAATCTTGTTTGCTTTGTAGTTGATCTTAGATATGATTTAATTAGTTTCAGTTTACTAAAACTACGTTCACAAGATGCCGATGTAACGGGTAATGTCAAAAATATTTGATAAGCTGTGAATATGTTAGGATAAGCTTCTTGAAGACTATTTTTAAGAATAAAATTTAAAATTTCATGTGAACGAGCATCTATTAATTTATTATCCAATTGAATTGCATGTTGAGTAAAACTATCCAACTCTAAAATTAATTCATTTTTGTCAATATCTTTTTCATATTTGATACAAAAGTCCATAGCATGTTTTTTTAATTGAATTGTTGGCATACTAAATAAAAACTTTCCATCTAAAAAAGAAAAATCTTTTGCAGCTTCATCAATTGAGTCAAATCTTTCTTTTAAGCCGTTCAAGATTCTATCACAGACGTTTTTCATTAAAATTCTAAATTTATTTTCTTCGGATAATGTTGATGATTCGTCCTCCGCTAATTCACCAGGCATTTTTTTCTTTTTTCTAACTCGAATCGATGGAAATACCGGTTCTATTGATAGCTCAGTTGATTCTTGTTTTGATTCATCAAGTGCTTCTTCAATACCTTCTTCCCTAAATTTCTCAATAAAATATATCAGACCTTTTAAGTGTTTGTAGAGAATAATAATTATGAATAATTTCTAACCTGTGCTACATTGTGTGTTAGTACTCGTATTACCCAGCCAATTATGAAAATACGCCGAAGTTCGCTCATTTTCTTTTTTTTTTTCGAGAGCTTTTTGCCGGAACTTAAAACCAGATAATTTTTTTTTTGGTTCCATCACAAAAAAATATACTGTAACACTTATACTTAAACTGTAACATTCATTAGATACCGTCCAGTGAACAGTGAAGTGAACGCTAAACACTGTTATAATAAATATAAATACCACTGTTAAATAGCAGAAAATACGCACACATGAGTACACAATGCTTGGTTATCGGCTTATCGCTGTGCAATTAGTTCGTCTATGACTGACCGATACAATTATACAACATTAGTTTATCTCAATTGCAGATTGCCCCGATTGTGTTTTTGGCTATTTTCAGCAAAATCATAAAATCGAAAGTATAATATGATATAATATTAATGTCTTTTCTTAATCATAACCAGTATGACTACATTGAATTAAAACTATTTATTTGAAAAACTTGTGTACTTCAAAAAAAAAGATAAATGTAATAAAAATGATGAGTTTAAAATTTGAAATTTGCGCCCCTCTATGATAAGCGCCCGGGGCATGGGCCCCGGATCGCCCCCCCCTAGATCCGGTACTGGAAATTGTAACAGTTATTGTAAGTACTCCAAAAACAAAAAGTTTTATAAAGCCTGCCGTTCACTCATACAATACACATGTATGGTACTATAATCGATGGGAAATCGTCTAGTAAACAGAAACCATTCATTTTAATCTTAAATAAATATTTTTAATTTTAAATATAAAATATTTAATAATATTATGAATCATTCCATCATCATTTTAAAAATAATAAATAAATAATGAGTAGGTACCTTGAAACAAAATATATTATAAAAAATTAAAATATATTATTAAAATATCAAAAATGTAAATGTAATTAAAATGTAATTGGAATTTTTTTCCGTAATAAACAATATTATTATTACTATTATTATTATTATATTATGATATAATAGTTTAGACAAAAATTCGTCCTTAATTATTCGTATTCCAAGAAACTTACATTTTAGATCTTAAAAAATAGCTCTTGCACATAAAACATTTAAACGTTTATAAGTATCTAATGTATTATAATATTATGTATTATGTTATCCAGCTCTTAAGGTTATACACAAACGTTATGAAATAATTTATCAAGCGAAAGAGATTTAAAAATAGTGGAACGAAATGCACAAGAAAAGAGTATGGTTAAAGGTCCCTTTTTCTTTTGAATTGTTTATACGCATATTGCCTATATGGTCATATAATATATTTATACTCAGGTAGGTCGTTATAATATAAATATATAATATGTATATAGGTAGGCACCTACTTAAAACTGTACTAGAAATACTTGAGGGGTGACATTTCAAAACGTACTATTTCCAAAATTGACAAAATTGAGTTATACATGGATTCATATGTAAAAATGGACGAGGAATCGAATGACATGGTCAAATTGAACCAAAACGTCCTTTTTTAAAATCCATCTGAAACTCATAAATGACGCAAAATGCACTATTTCCAAAGGCAAAATTAGTCTAAATGCATTATTTCCAAAATTGTATAGTATTTCTCGTGTTAAATAGTTTGTTCATTTTCCAAAAGTACCAATTCCTCAAATTATACCACACTTACTATTTAAAAAGTAGGCCATATTGTACTATTTCCCATAATATGAAGATATAATTGAATTAAAATATATATAACGTATTATTTCCACTGGTAACTAAAAATAAATTTGATTTCTCAAAAAGTGTAAAATGGGATTAGTACGTTTTGAAATGTAGCCCCTCAATTTGGACCTGTCTAAAACATAATATTAGTAATAGCTAGTATACTTATCGCTGTACGATGCAAAAGCATGCAACTACCTATAGTTATTATAGTAGTCATAACTCAACAATTTGGGTCAGTCATTTCAACGGAAATTCCAAAGCTATTATTTGTGAACGGCACAAGTTGTAATATGGTGGGACGGTTAGGAATAGTGTCCGCGAGGATGATAAAGCGTAAAGGTGATAGATTTGATTTAATTTCAAATCCGACTGGCGATTATCGCTTCACTTGGTTGGAAGGATATGACGTATCCTTGTCCTATTTTCGAGGATTCGATCCTTCTGAGTCCTGACTCGGATCAGGAGACGAGTGATTGGTATTTGGTGAGTACCTACAGTATTATATTATAATTCACCCAAATGCCAATGCCAGACAAACATTGGGTTTCGAGTCAGCAGCGAATTGAAGAAAATCAAAATTCAAAGTGTTGTCAATATTACATAAAAATTATTAGTAAACGCGGTGACCGAAGCATTTGTTTCAGTACAATTTTAATTAGTTTCCCAGCTACGTCATTATACCCAGTCTCGGGTCTTGGAACCAAGTTATGCTTTTCAATATTCTTATACCATAGTTTTGTATGATTTTTTTTTAACATTTCGATCGTCATTTAATTTTTACATATTTTCTTACTTATTATTTAATAACATTTTATAGAAATTATATTTTTCCACATTCTTCTATAGTTCTATCCTATATAGTCAAAACCAAAAACTAAAATTATTACTTTATTATCTTTATAATACAAAGTAAGTAAAAGTGTCACAAAATGTATTACAGCTGATGATATTGTTACCCACAGGAATTTCTGCGATATTCAATATTTTTTGATTGAATAAGTTCGTATTCGCTTGGTCGTATCATATGAGGTTTTTAATTATATTACCACCACCTATGACCTATCTAATACACAGATATTATTTTGGCTTTCTCATATTTATAATTCGATTTAATTCTCATGCGAAAAGTTTATCGTATAAGTTGCTGTCGATACCAAATAATAAGCTTCTTAACACGTATAATTATTATAATATATTTCACATAATATTTCCACTGTACCTACCTACACAATATAATATGCGACAGAGTTAGAGTATACGTGATTGAATAATACACCTTTAACTATACAACCAGACAATATTTTAAATTGTACAATAATATACGCCTAGCTGTATTATTAAAGTTTTAATATAAAAATGTTCATTTCACATTTTCACTTACTTGGAGTCTTTCGAACATCGCATAATATGGTAAGAAATCGAGTGAAAAAATATAATATAATACTTATACACATCTGCAGCAAAATATTTTGTTATAAATAATATATTTTCCTCTCATGTTTAATACCCTATACCTATGCAGCTAAATATTTCATTAAAAACAAATTAATAAATTGTAATTATATTTTATGGGCACGTGCCTCTATCGCATTATATAATATATAATAAGTTTATATTTAAAGAAAAAAATCTTTACGTGGAAATCGTACGAAGCAGTTTCTGTAAGCACTTTCCGTGACATGACAGGGTAGAATAGAGAACATTAAGAAGCTAAATTAACATTCAGAAGCTAATCAAAGTAAATATGTTTCAGTTTCTATCATTACTTAGATGTATTTATTTACTATAGTAAAATAACCTTTCACATATTGTGAAAAATTAATTGATCTGTAGACTGTGAGAGGCAATATTATTGGAAACTGTTGCGTTGTATATGCATCAGAATTATTGTTGTGATATACTTTCGAGCTATTATTCAAAACAAAATTGAAAAAATAATCATATTATAATTAATAATGTTTTTGAGTACAAGTATAATGAATTGCTACGAAATACTACAAATTGCTTTCGATCAAAATTATGATTTATAATGATTAGTTTTCAATAAATTATAAAATATTTTACAACTAACAAAACCGACCGATCAAAACGTTTTGGAATTCACTGTAGGAAAAAATTGAAAACCTCTTTCTGAAGTCATACTTTTGCTTAAAATTCATGTTTTCTTCTTATTATTATAATAATATATATTGAACACAACGGAGGCCATTATTTTTTTTTTACTTTGTTATATTTTTCAACTAACCCACCAGCTTTATATTGAAATTACTATATATTATTTAATATACTCTTATTAATTCTTTATCAGCTATATTTGTTCTTATAATTCTGAGGCAAAGAGAGCAAGCAATTCATAAATTAGTAAACAAATAAACGAGGAAATTAGAATTCATCAGCAACGAGTTATTCAGTTTACGTACTTATACGTATTAATAATAATAGGTATTCGTATTCTATAAGTACCCTGTTAAAAAAGCAATTGTTGTTCATCATTTTTTTTTTTTATAATTCTTTGCCTTGTAGAGGTCGGATATTGTAGTGATTTTTTACTTATTTTTATTTGTACAATGTACAACTAACTCAGTTATACATATACTACATACTTTGTAAGATTAATATTTAATACACAACATTTTATTTTGCTTTATTAGCATTTTTTTTTAATGCTTTTTTGATCTTATTGTTTTTTTAAATCGAAATGGTTGTAGTTTTTTTCGCTATTCATAAAATTCATATAATGTTTTGTAAAATAATATGTTATATATTCGTATTTGGAATATTTTAAAAATAATGTATGCTACACACAGTAACTAACAATTAATATTTTAGACATGGGTAGTGTAGTAAGAATTAATATTTTTCCAAATTAAGTAATTAATAAAGCAAATGACTTCTAGCATTTGTGCATTTGTTTTGCGCAATCATATAAAAAGTCCAGCTATACACAAATTTATTTTATGTTACGATATAAATCCAAATATTTAAATTTGTGTTGTATATTTTTGCATAGTTAGGTTGTTTTACTTTTTGAGGCATATTTCTTAATTTTGGGCTTTTTTTGATAACATTTATCAAAACGACAATCCATTATGATATGATTTGAAAGTTCCTTCACACTTCCACGTATACAAAAGCACACCGGGTACTAAAATTAATTAACAAATCAATGAATCAATGTAATTGTCTATTTTTTATAATCAATTAAAATAAAACTTACAGTTTCATTCGGATATAATTATTATCTTTATTATTTTTTCAATAGGTAGTATGAATAATATTTTAATTCGACTAACGCATTTTCTTATTTATTTATTTTAATCATAATATTAATTTACTGAACCTTAAAAAAAGTTTTAAGTCTGTATTTTAGGGATTTTGAGCGCATAATATAGAAAGGGAGTGCTTGCTTATAGTTATAAGTCGCCTGTGGCCTGTCCTAGTTATTAATATGACTCATATTATATGAGCCATTCCAAAGTCAAATGAAGCAATGAAGCAAATATGCTGAGACCACATAATTGTAATTCAACCATTTTAATAAAATTTCGAGGTCACAGCAATCTATGAATAGTTTTTACAGGATTGTCCGAATGTGTGGATTGTAGATAGGCAACGATTGTAACAGGGACTCGAGACTAGGTAGTGAGTAATTTTAGGGTTTTTTTTTTAAATATTAATATATTAATAAACGAGACTTTCTTATCCGAATAAAATGTATTTGAAACTTTTCTCCCAATCGTTTAACGTTTAACCTCTACAACCCACGAGCAGCGTCGGAGGGTCGGAATAACAATATCATATTATGGTAAAAATTAAGTCTTAAAGATATTAAACTAAAGTTCAATCCATAAAGGTACACCATCGTACTTCTCATAAAATCAACTACAGAGCTGGCTAAAAAAATTGAGATTGACATCAACTTGGCGTGTACGAAAGTAAGACGATAGTTGTAGGTTTTGACACTTATACATATGTGTCATGACGTGGTATTTTTAAGGTTAAAATAATAATTTATTTGTGTACCATAAACGTCCACGGAAACAAATCATATTCATTTTACATTTAATATTTAATATCAGCTATCGTTATCATGATAACAAATTACTTGCATTAGGTAAATCATCTAAAAGTATTTAGTAAACTTACTTCAATCTTTCCGCTGTGTATCCTAAGTGCATTTTTCATATTTATATAATTTGAGAATATTGTGTAGTTTGTTTTTTCCGAAAGTTAGAATGTCTAATGAGGCCACCTTGATATTTAGTCGAAGAATTTTGAATATATTTTTTAACTTGAGATAACTTAGGGTTTACCTACTACGTATTATTATATTATATTTATATAAATACGTAAGTAATATTATTAGTAAACTTTTAAGGGATATTTAGTGATTTTTGCTTCATTTTATATTACAATAAATTGTATAGAGATACAATTTCCAAACTTAATTCGCTTTACTGTAATGATTAAATGTTATTGATAAACATTATATATTATTAAGTATGATTGTGTAGTGTTACTTCGAGCCTATTACACAATTATTTACGTGATCGAATAACGAACGTTAGTCGATGCAATTGATTGATTTTAGTAATTAAATTTAATATATTCGATCAGATAATAATAGCGATTCGCAGTCCAAACATTCACTGGCACTAACTGTGTTGATAGAAGAATAAACGTGAATCGTTAACAATGAAAAATAATTTTGTAAAATCTTAATCTAAAGTGATCAGTCACGAAGAATATAAATAACATAAATATACAAGATATTATCACAGATTTGTTGTCAAAATTAAATTTAAGACTCCACGATATAATAATGTAAGATAATACCTGTACAGGTATTGCGCATTTAATTGGAATGATTGTAATCTCATCAACCACTTTTGTCTGAAATTTATTTTGTATTACTGATACAGGAATTTGAATTAAATTTATCGTATTACTCTTAAATCATCGATTTCAGAGTGAAAAATATTCATTTTATTTTTCCTACCAAGCAAATGTCCTAAAAGTACTTACCTATGTCATGCAAATGCAGCGAAATATTCAATGTTTAAACGTCATGAGAAAAATGAATATTTTAAATCAATTTGAGTCACTTCAATTCTCTGATCCGTAATCTTTTCAGGCATAAATGTCTTTTGGTAAAAACTTAAAATTTGATTGACCTTCCCTTGTCTTACAGCCTTTGATGTTTAGACGTCCTTTTTGCTTTTTTGCTTTTTGAGACATAATTTGCATAAGTGTATCTTTGAATTCAAAATTAGGTTTCTTCATAAAGTATTAAAGCATACAGACGAAACGATATTTTCTGACTGGTAAAGTTACTGTGACTTACAATAGTTTATAGTTTGGTGTACTAAATAAAAATCCAAAAGTATAATATGTATAATGAAAATGTATATTACATAGATGATAATAATATATCATTGCGTTTGGCATTAAT